CACTGCCATGTCAGAGTTGAGAGTTGCAGAGTTGAATAGTTGTGATGGTGACTGTATAGCCTCCAAAGCCTAAAATATTTACTCGCTATCCCTTTATAAAGTTTGCTGACCACTAGGTCAGGTTTTTGTTAGGTGCTGTGGAGTCAGTTACAACTCATAATGACCCCATGTATAACTGAATGAAACACTGCTCAGTCCTGAGCCATCCTCACAATTGTTGCCATGTTTGAACCCATTGTTGTAGCCTCTGTATCAATCCATCTTGTTGAGGCTCCTCTTCTTTTTCACTATCTACTTTACCACACATAATGTCCTTCTCCAGGGACTGGTCCCTCCTGAAAACAAAAGATGTTGTCTCACCATCCTCATTGCTAAGGAGCATTCTGGCTGGGCTAATTATAATTATTGTATCATATAAAATGGAAAATCTTAATTGTGAGAGAAATGCTTATGATACAACATTTAGCAAAACAATTGTAACAAACTGTATGAGCAAGATGATCCCAAATAGTTTATTTTCATTTAAAATTTTTGCCTGTTTACCCTGGTGGGAATGTTTGCTCCATGAAAGCAAAAAAAAAAAAAAAAAAAAAATTGAATTTTTAAATTTATTTCTGTATATATCGTACAAGAGTTGCAGCAGTACATTGATGGAGAACAGTCAGAAATTCAAGCTTGTTTCAGAAGAGGACATGGAGCAAGGGATATCATTAATGTCAGATGAATCTTAACCAAAACCAAAAAATACCAGAAAGATGTTTACCTGTGTTTTACTGACTATGCAAAGGCATTTGACTATGTAGGTCATAATAAATTATGGATAACATTGTGTAGGATGTTACCAGAACATCTAATTTTTCTCATGAGGAACCTGTAGGTGGATTAAGAGGCAGTCATTCAAACAGAACAAGGTAATCTCCATGGTTAAAAAAAAAAAAAAGTTGTGTATCAGGGCTGTATCCTTTCACCATATTTATTCAGTCAATATGCTAAGCAAATAATCTGAGAAGCTGGGCATCAGGATTGGAGGAAGACTCTTTAACAGCCTGAGATATGCAGATGATACAACCTTGCCTGGTTAAAGTTAAGAGAACTTAAAGCATTTACTGATGAAGATCAAAGACTACAGCCTTCAGTATGGATTACACTTCAACATAAAGAAAACAAAAATCCTCACAACTGGACCACTAAGCAACATCATAATAAACAGAGAAAAGATTGAAGTTGTCAAGGATTTCATTTTACACGGATCCACAATCAACACTCATGGAAGCAGCAGTCAAAAATCAAACATTTTATTGCACTGGGCAAATCTTCTGCAAAAGATCTTTTTAAAGAGCAAAGATGTCACTTTGAAGACCTAGGTGCACTTTACCTAGGCCATGGTATTTTAAATAACTTCTTATGGATATGAAAGCTAGACAATGAATAAGGAAGACTGCACATGAATTGATGCATTTGAATTGTGGCACTGGTGAAGATGTTGAATAACCATGGACTGCCAGAAGAATGCACAAATCTGTCTTGGAAGAAGTGCAGCCAGAATGCTCCTTAGAAGGAAGAATAAGTAGACTTTGTCTCTCGTACTTTGGTCATGTTATCAGAAGGGACTAATCCCTGGAGAAGGATGTCATGCTGGGTAAAGTGGAGGGTCATCAAAAAATGGGAAGATCCTCAATGACATGGATTGACACAGTGTCTGGAATGATGGGCTAAACATAGTAAGGAATGTGAGGATAGTGCAGGACTCAGCAGTGTTATATTTTGTTGTATATATGGTGGCTATGAGTTGGAACTGATTCAATAGCACCTAACAGCAGCAACGTATCCTAGAACAGTGCTTGACACAAAGCTCAATAAATAAATGCATACCAGTTGAAGACTGGTGAATTATGTGATTGTATAATATAGCATAGTGCCTAAGGCACTTGACTGCTAACCAGAAGGCTGGCAGTTCAAACCCAACAGCCACTCCTCGGAAGGAAGGTTGGGCAATCCTACTTCCGTAGTGATACTGCCTCGGAAACCCAAGGAGGGGTCGCTATGAGTCGGGGCCGACTCGATGGCAAACAACAACAACAACAACATTATATATATATATATATATATATATATATATATATATATATATATAATAATAATCATAGCAAAACCTTTCTGGGGCATGTCTATATGTTAGCCGCCACGTTGAGAACTTTATATTAATGATTACATTTAAATCTGAAACAGTTCACCTTGGAAAGCATACTCTCACCTCCATTTTACAAAAGAAAGAGGAAATCAAGGTTTGGAGAGATTGCATAACTTTTCCAATATTATAAAGCAAATAAATAACATGGCCAGAATTCAAAAGGTCTTTTGATTCCAGAGTTTGAGCTTGAATCATAAGGTATAATTCTTAAATTTATTAAAGCAATTTCCATGTTAATGTGAGAAAGAAAAAGATGAGGCAATACCAGAGGTACATATACAGAGAAGAGAACCAATTACTGGGATAGGAGATTTGACCTGATTTTTGATATCTGAGTTAAATATTTTTATGTTTTTCCATTTTCTAAGATGAATGGACTTACTGTAAAAATAATAAAATAAATTTATTTAAAGAGAAAGAAAAAACAGCTCAAAAGTTTGATATGTTTTGTTTCTATAGAGCATTTCTTATTTCCTGTCAGCTTTGTGTAAATTGCTAAGGAAACTGCTTTCCTTCTGACCCTTGTTTACATTTGTTTTGTTGAAGTTCAATATTAGGTTTCAACTCCCTTTGAATACTTCATAACCTTGAGAATTCAAAATGTCATCTATGTATAACTCTGGTCAAAGGACACTGACAGATAGAGCTCCTCGATGTTTACCTTAGGAAATCTCAAGTACACACATTTTTGAAAGCTGTATCGAGTTTTCTACATGTTTGGCTACACTGGTCTGTAAATGTTTCCACCACACAATGGGCTGCTTTTACTTGGAGTTTTTCGTTGCTTTTTAAATTGGCACAGTATTTGGAACATACACATTTAAAATATATTTATTTTATACCTAAGGAGATAATTAGATGACAGCAGCCCCAAATCGGGAGGTGACATAGTGCCTGAAGCATTTGACTGCTAACCAAGAAGGCTTCAAACCCCCCAGCCACTCCTCAGAAGGAAGATTGGGCAATCTACTTCCATAGAGATACTGCCTCAGAAACCCAAGGAGGAGTTGCTGTGAATCAAATCAACTTGATGGCAGTGAGTTTGGTATTAGAGCTCTAAATCATGTAATAAAGTAAAAGGAAAGAAATAATATTAAGAATAAAATTCTTTAGTTAGTGGTTCATTTTTTCTTCTTTATTTTCCTCTTAATTGCCAATCAATGACAGTGGTATATTTTCTACAATCTAAAGGACTTTATATAGGCCCTGGCCTAAGTTGCAAGGCTGAAGAGAGAAAGAAAATTAATAAAACTGTAATGCAGTTGATTACAATGACTGAGTGAATGCTATAAAGTTATTGAGGTCACCATAACACCAAATTCAAGAGTGGTAAGAGGAGATGGTTGTTTCCTGTATTAAAGACAAAGATGTGAACCCTACATGAAGGCAAGGAAGCAAGCCCACTGTCACTGTCATCAAATCAATTCTGACTCAGAGTGACCCTACAGGACAGAGTAGAACTGCCCTAAAGGGTTTCTAATGCTGTAAATCTTTACAGAAGCAGACAGTCAGACTGTCTCATTTTCTCCTGTGGAGCAGCTGGTGGGTTCAAACGACCAACCTTTTGGTTAGCAGCTGAATGTTTTAACTGCTATGCCACCAGAGCTCTTTCAAGCAAGCATGGTGGTGAGATAAATGTCTCTCATAAGCATGGAATAAAGTTTTAGGTTGAGAACATCTGAGGCTGTTTGAAAAGGGCCTTTAAAAATTTCTGAGGTGAGTCTGGATATTCCACTCATAACTCCAGAGACTTCTGTTATCCAGGCCTGTTAAGAATGAGTTTTTAAATGGGTTATTTCAGACCTTTGTGATTTAGTTGTTTTTATCAAGAGCATCATTCTGATTTTTATGAGTTATAAATGAAGCTGATCAACACTATCTGTCTGTGACTTTATTTGGCAGAAATGAGGGCTTGAGAGTAATGATATTGGTTTTAAGTGTGAAGTATTGTTTAATGTATTCTGATCATGGTCTTCCTTGTTTGTGATGACTTCAGTTGAGCATATCGTTCTTTATACAGTTTATGAAAGAAAGAAATTGCATTTCTAAATTACCAAAAGTAAGACATTAACAATCTGAGTGACAGATTTGAAAAAATAAACTATGTACACATAGTTGAAGAAATGACATTTGCTTAAATACACATTGTGAGGTTATGTGTGAATAAATGATCCATTACCAAGAGTGCCATTGTGCTTGCAGAGGTTCTATCAAAAAACAAAAAACAAAAAAACAAAAACAAAAACCTCTTGTATTTTTTATTTCCTTCTTTGGTGATTTTAGTGTGTGGTGTGAAGCATACAGTTTCACTTTTAAATTTGTGACTTCTAAAAATTCTTTTTCTTCCTGACATCATAATGTGGCCTCAGAAAATCAGACAGTTGGTATTTCAAACACAGAGCATTTACTCAGACACTGAATAGAGTGTTCTAAATGTCTGGATTCTTTCCTGTTTTGTGGTGACTGCTTTTAGACATAGTATAAAACCACATTAATCAGAGGTCGTTGTTACTGGTGGTTAGTAGCATATTCCTTCCTCATCTATAAAGTTACCTTACTCTTCTTAAAGTTTTTTTTTTTTGTTTGTTTAAATAGTTATTACTTTCCATTTTCTAAGACTTCTAGGAAGCATCATGAAGGTATAAAAATATTAAAACTTCAGGACCATTAAATACCATTTAATTCTAACTCCCACTTTTGAAAGCTGAGGAAGTGAGGCTTTGGAAGGGTGAATGACCTGCCCAAGCGCACACACTGAGTCAGTAGTGTGTTGTGTTTATTTGTTTGTTTTTCTTCTGCTATTCCTTAGATGGCCGACCACGTCCTGTCATTCTCTGGGACTCATCTTTATCTCCAACAAGTAATGAGACCCAGTCTTCTGTGAAGCTCACCTGGGGAACTTACCAGCAGTTGCTGAAACAGAAGTGTTGGCAGAACGGTCGAGTACCCAAACCTGAATGGGGTTGTACCGAAATACATCACCATGAGTGGTCAAAGATGGCACTCTTCGATTTTTTGTTACAGGTAAGCTTATCAAATCAAGTAAAGTGTTATTTATGTAAGAATGAGACTGAGTTATAGAAGCCTGTCACTAAGAAATTTTCAGTACCTTGGGATTTTATGAAGACAGAGTTTAAGTTTTCTCATGCTATTATTGCAAGTATTCATAAATGCCTCTCAGTCCTTTTATTAATTTCTGAAGAACTACATTACTAGTCATCTTGCAACAGATATACTTTATTAAAATAATCTATCAACAGTTCTTCAAGGTGGATAATCTTACCCCATTTGGGAGGTGAGTAAACTGATATTTGGTGATATTAATTAACGACTCAAGTTCTAACAATTACTAAAAGCCATAACTGGGATTCCCTGTCATCTGTTGATTGTTTGTCTTTTGCCCATCATTCACACAATTTCTGTGGTCACTTGACCATATATCTTACAGCCATCATTCCATTCTTTTCTTTCCAAATGTTTGTGACTTTTTAGGAATATGCAACATTGGAGAACAATAAATATCAATCATTTACATAACCAAGTGACTCCTGACATTTTTTATTTCTCATAACTTATCTCCTTTTCAAAAAGATCTCATTGTCTCTCTCTCTCTCCACATTCTCATTATGATTACTGCCTTTCTATACCCCTATTGTAGAAAGACAGCTTTTTTGGTGTAGTTGAAATGGATTTTGTATAGTTAATAAGCATTTTATGATTTAGGACTGTCTTAGGACATTCACAAAATATTTTTTTGCTGTTGTTCCTTTAGCTAGAGAGGGGCAAAAATTTTATGTCTATCATCTTATCCATGGGATAATGTAACAAGTTGATATAATAAAATATAATAGCAATAATGTAGAGAATGACTGAAGGTTCTCAGAATAGAGTAGGTAAAGGTACTCACTATGAGGCCAGAATTTTTTGAGAGTGCTCAGCAATGATGTTGAAGTTACTGATGATAACCAGGGAGAAGATGAAGAAATCTATGAATGTGATAGTGAAGTCTATTAGAAAGGAATAACCTTGAAGTTTGTTGCTAATGAACATAGGACAAATGCCCTGTGGAAGCTATTGCTGGTGGGATGTGTTTTAGTTTTGGAATCATCAAGTAAATCTTCTCTAGTGTCTACCATTCCCCCTCTGTACTGGGGAAGTTCCAACTATCATTCAACCATTCAAGATATATTTATGCAGCATTATTTTATTGTGGGAAACAACCACGGGAATGACAAAGTAGTAGATAAGCGAGTTATCCCTACTGCTCCTCCTCAAGCTTATTTATTGACTTGGACATCTAGGGGAGAAAATATAAACAAAAAATAAAGAACCATATAAGAATAATGAACTAATGTAAGTCTTAATTGCAAACAACAACAATTGTTGAATAATTGTTCTAAGACAAAGTATGAGATCACTTTGCAGTAAAATTAATAGTTAAGGAAAGATTTGAGTAGAACTGTGAGCTTTCCATTATAGGGAGGATGGGGAAGAGTGTGAGGAGGAACACTGGATATATGACAATCTGATGATGGGTAATGGGATCTTCTTTATATTTATAGGTCTTTCATTATGAGTGAGATTAAAGATATCATATATTTAAAGGTTTTTTGATTATGAATATTTCTTTTTCTCTGAATTTCTTGTTTTTTTTTTTTATCATTTAGTCCTGTAACATTTTCTTATTGATTTATAAAATCTTTTTGTATACCAGAAAGATTAGCCTTTATCAATCATATATGTCTCAAATAATGTTTCTGACTTTGATGATAAATTTTACTCCATAGAATTTTTTCATATGATAGTATCTTATTAATTTTGTACTTCCTTTTATTTAGTGTCATGCCTAAGAAATACATTTATTAAATAAATAAACACACTTAAGCTATTTTTCTTGAGTACTGTAGTAAATAGTCATTATCTTTTACACAATAACTCTTTTAACCAATTACACTGAATTTTTTATTTTAATGTCAGAGTATATATGTCTTATTTAAATGACATTGGGGATGTACTAGAATGTATTAGATGAACAATTTAAAAAGTTATACTTCAAGGAATTACTTGCTCTATGATTCTAGAGTGAGGGTAAGGAAAACAGAACCTAGTTGTTAATTTTCTGTATACAGCATTCTTTTTGTTTTACCCAATTAACAAATCTACATTCACAAAAGCTATGCCATTTTACTGGGTCTGTAAAATGTTATGGAATCACAAGTAATCTTTTATTCTTGAAGCGTGGGGATATGAACTGTTTAGACACAAATTCCCTTCAACTAAGATGACAAAGAGAAGTATTCTAGACAGCCTTTGCGTTTTCAAGGTTCTGTCCAATTTCCCTCAAAGGCTTTTATAAAATAAGAAGTAAATTTAGGATGTAGGAAACTTACTTTTTACCACAGAGGTAGTAAGTATAAGAGGGTAGTCAGGAACTGAGAGTCTGGAGTCAGCCTGTTGAATTTGAATCTCAATACTGCCACTACAAATATTTTAACCTTGAGAAGTTACTTAGCCTTTCTCTGCCTCAATTTCCTCATCTGTAAATAGGAATAATAATAGGTCTTCTATAAAGGATTATTGAGATGACTAGATATGTTTGTACATGTAAAGCATTTAGAACAGTATGTAGTACATGGTAGGTGCTCAATGATTTTTAGCTATTAAGCAGTTGATCATTCAGAAATAATCATAGAAGTAAATATCAGGAGAAGAACTAAATAAACTATTTTACAGTTATTCTTATTAATTAAATTGCAACTCATTCCCAAATCATTTCATTTTGTCTACTCCCATAGACTTTCATATTTACGTTGTAAATCTTAGACAGTCAGGTTTTAATTATTTTTGACTAGTCTGTCTTCTTCAATAAGCTTTGAATTCCTCAAGGGCACGTCCTTGTCTTACTCAACCTTGTAACCTTTCCATTACACAACATAGTGTTTGGATATGTCACAGTTACTAAGCACATTGTTTTATTCATAAAAAAAAACTATCTAGTACATTAAAATATTAAACATTTAGTGTCAAATTAAAAATGTTAAAAGTGAAAGAAATAAAAGTATACTTGCAATACAGAAATAATTATAATGTCGAAGGAGGAGATTTAGAAGTTTAGAAGATGAAAGAATCACATGAATAGAAAATATTTCATATTGTTATTGTTTAGTGGAATTCTTAAGAACTTCAAACTTTTCTCTAAGAATAAATGAGAAATTAAGGGGTGTTTACACAGAAGGAGCTCTGGTGGCTCAGTGCCTAAGGCATTTGACTGCTAACCAAAAGGCTGGTAGTTCAAACCCACCAACCACTCTGTGGAAGGAAGACAGGGCAATATACTTCTTTATTTATTATTTTTTTTTTTTAGGATTTGGGTGAAGATTTACAGAGTAAATTCACTTTTCATACAGCAGTTCACATATACTTTGTCTCATGTCA